TCAGAAGCAGCAGAGTAGGGCGAGTCCTGACAAGCAAGGTAGTTTGATCCAAAACAAAGCAGCCCCTTTAAAGACTTTACATCAGGTCTAGCATTACAAACACATTCTCATTCCTGACTCTTCACATATTGACGCTTGGTCAAGGCCCTTTGGCGTCACATTTCAACGCCTTGGGTAATCCTTTAGCATCATTTTTTGACATTTAATACTCCCCAGTCAAGCTAGCAACGCTTAGGAAAAACAAATATGCAACGTAAAAGTGAGCAATATTACATAAGCAACGTCCGGTCAGACTTTCGAAATAAAACCGCTAGCGTTTTGAAACATCGCTATTTTGAAACAGCGCTATTTTGAAACATCGCTATTTTGAAACAGCACATTATTAAAGTTGTGGAATGTTGCAATTAGGTTTAGGCAACAAAACTACTTGGTTAAGGTTAGAAAAAGATCATGGTTTGGGTTCAAATTAAGTATGTCCGTTAACACGTAAGTAAATTTATGTCACTTGTGTAACTTAAATAAAAATATTTAATGTTGACTTTTTGTTTTACACAGGACACGAACCCCAGTGTCCTGGTTCAAAGTTGTGGTTCTGGCCCTCCATCCACCCCAACCACCTCTTTACTCAGTCTTTTCTGTTAAATATCATATACCTACCTTTACTGACGCTACAGGGCTTCCTCCAATGCGTTGAACTATGACTCTATAGGGATCCCCAGTGCGTTACAAACTGATGCCGATGGGTCTTGACCATATGTGACGAGTTGGCATTCCAGCTTTAGCTGGGTTATCTACAACCTACAACTCCGCACTTCACTTGGTAAAATTACATTGCCTCGTTTATTTTAAATATAATCCACAAGTAATAAAGCATTCTTACAAGCTGTGGGCGCGAGCATTATGACGTGTGTTACAAATTGATGCAGATAGGTTACGTAAGTAAAAGCTGGACTACAATCAAGCTGTTTTCTGGCACTTCAGGAGCAGAGTTTTCTGTGGGAGATGGGAACTCCTGTTAGGGTGGACTTTGGTTTGCAAACCTATTACATGCACAAAAAGATAAAAACACAATAAAGCAAAGGAAAAAAGCCAAAAAGCATTATATGACCTCTTCAAACTGGTTTTACTTTTTCGTCTTTTATGTCCTTTGTTTTATATGTGCTTTACAAATAAAGTTATTATTATACTTTGCACCACTCGTATGCATGCTACAGTATTCCACATGAGAGACACAGTGCATATGTGCATGCATGTGAAGCAGCGTGTGGAGGAGAAAGCATCAGACGGGGAGCTGGTCCATCTATTTGTGGCGCAGTGTTTCTCCCTGACAGGCCGAGGCAGTGGGATAAGAGTGACAGCAGAGGCAGACGGTCAGGACTAAATACAAGTGTCGTTCATTCACATCCAGCCTAACACCACAGAGCGTCTCCAGCCTCCCACCACACGGCCCTGACTGTGAAGCCATGATCAGTGGGCTGGAATCCCTCTGTTTACCCTGCTAAAAATAGATTCCACACACTGAGATGACGTGGCATCTCGTGACAAGATCCAGCCCCTCCTCAGCTCCCCTCCACCCACCTCCTCCCAGACTGTAGCGCCGGGCGAGTCATGCCTTTATTGGTATGCAGCCCTCAGCCTGGCTGCATGCCACGTCTCCTCAAATCCTGTCTGTCGTGTCTTTGGAGAGGAAGGGGGGTGGGCGGTGGAATTAGATATGTTCATGTGAGGAGAAAAGATGAACCGAAAACATGAATTTCAAGGGGAAGGATGGATGGATAGACAAGACTTTAGAGGGAAGGGTGGGGGTGGAGCGGAGGCTAGTGGGAAGGAGCAAGTGAAGGAGGGGGCGGCGGCAATCAATACCATGACTCATTCTTTCTGCGATGGCCACTTCCTAACAGCATTCATTAAAGCAAACCTAATCATTTTGGCCCGATAATCAGATCCTGTGAGGCTCAATCTTCTTTCCCTCCCAACCACACATGTTAAAATCATGCACACTGAAGCTGAAATGGTAGGAAACAGGACCGGTACGTTATCCGATGGATCTGATGGTTGTGGTTGATAGCAAAAACTGCGTGATACATCTTCAATGAGCTGCTGAAATCCTTTGATAACAGAAAGCAGCGTGGTTATGTGGATGGGGATGCTTTGGTCCAAACTAAAATATCTCAACAACTATTGGTTAGATTGCCATGAAACTTTGTGCAGAGATTCACGGTACCCAGATGATGAATCCTAACGGCGTTGGAGATAACCTGACTTTTCCTCTAGCGCTGCCATGAGGTGAATGTGTGATTTTGAGTGAAATATCTCAACAACTATTGGATGAATTGCTTTAAAATTTGATTTCACATTTTGAAGAGGTGGTATTATGCTCATTTTCAGGTTCAACATCTTATTTAGGTTCAACATCTTATTTAGGGGTTGTACCAGAGCAGGTTTACATGGTTTAATTTTCAAAAAACACCATATTTTTTTTCATACTGCACATTGCTGCAGCTCCTCTTTTCACCCTGTGTTGAAGGCTTCGTTTTAGCTCCGGAGTGATACATCTTGTTTCTAAATGATCTTCGTTGGGAGTTGCACATGTGCAGTTACTAGTTAAGGACTACTAGCCAATCAGAAGCAGAGAAGGGCGGGTCAGCGAGAAGCCGGTAAACAGCTTCGGTTCAGCTGCACATGTTGCCGACCAGCTTGGCAACATGGACTGGAGCAAGAGTTTCAGAGTGGTGAGTTATTAATCTGTAACAAAAGTATCTTTCATCCATAAAGTTTTAACTGAGCTCTGTCTCTACAGGAACAACTTTATGTCCACTGACTGCCTGGAGGGCAGCTAGTGTTTGGAAGCGAGAGGAGAGCTGTGTGCTGCAGCTCACTGTTTTTCCGCCAGTGTTTTTGAGGCCGCTTGGCGAGCGTTATATGAGGCGCATTTAGCTTATATGAGGCGCATTTAGAAAGGGAAACGGCTGGACTATAAACAATTTGTTTTCAGGCAGTTTTTCCACCGGTGTTTCTGAGGGCATGTCAGAGTAGCCGCTTGGCGAGATGGTTTGGTCAACCACAACGCAACTGTCGGATGGACTGTCGTGAAATTTTATACAGACATTCATGTCCCTCTCAGGGTGAATACTAATAACTTTGGTGATCCTCCAGCTTTTCCTCTAGTGCCACCATCAGGGCAAAATGTTAATATGTCCAATACTTTGGTTTATGACCAAATACCTGCAAAAGTAATGACTAGAGGGCAGGACACCCCTCTGTCTAATGAATAGCTTGAAGCACTGTGGCGACAGGCAGGTGGATAAACTCTTTCCAGGTTTAAAGTGTCCTTCCTAGAAAGTTTGGCTCCACTGCAGCATCCATCTGAGTAAGTTAAAGGCTATGTAAGACTCACACGCACAACAGCCGCTCTTTAGTGCTTTCACCTTCAGTGTCTAAGAATAGCTCCCGGCTCTGTAGACGCCTGCATTGTTTGCAGGATGTACAGAACATTTGGAACAAGGACAGGTGGAGTTTCACACAGTATATAAGTGAGTAGGAAAGTAAAGATAAATCATATTGGGCTTTACAGAAAGAGGATATGAAAGGGGACACACAACCAATCATAAATTTGTTATGATTTCAGGAAAATGTAATATAAAAAATATCTAATAATGGAAGTTGATGTTTTTTTTTAACCAAACAAGTAATATGAATGATTTCCAGACTAGATTACTTGTTTTTTTAATCAATAAATTCATAAATGAAAATAATCGTGAGTTCGTGCTCAACTCTACTAATTAAAGGCATGTGCAGTGTTCAGTCTAGTTTATTATCACCGTTTGAAGTTACATCATTAATACAACCCCATCAAGTAAACCACTCATTTGGTGATTTTCAGGTCAAAAGACATTTAGGTTAAAACAGGCTAAATTTTTCTGGATGCCAGGATTAAAGATCTCAGCGTGAAGCAGGTCCTAACTGCACATTAACAAAACTGGATTACCGACCGGGCAAAGTGGGGTAATTGCCCTCAGGCCTGAAAACTTAAGGTTTTTAGCCACGGTCTTTCCACAGTTTTGATCCAGACTGAAATATTTCAACAACTATCAGATGGATTGGCATTAAATGTTGTAGAGCCAGAGGATGAATCCTAATCCTAACTTCTGTAATCCTTTAACTTTCCCTCAGCCAGGCTAGCGGCTCTGTGAAGCTGTAATCACGCAGGCACAGTGGTGCTTTAACCCTCACATGCTTACAATAACAGTGTTAATATGTTAATGTGTGTCCTAATTTCATCCAATAGTTTTCAAGATTATTTTGTGCTCACATAGCACATTCTCCTAAATAACATTGCCTTTAATCAAACTAGCCTTCACAGAGTGAATGTGTAAATGTATAGTCTGCTGCATGCACTGATGGGAACTTGTGGTGTACAGGTTACACAATCACAGAGGGCCGGAGGGGGGGGGGGGTCATTAGGAGCAGATAGATTTTTGCCCCCTGGGCTCACTAACAGGTTAGTCCAGCCATGCACACTGAAATATCACCATTTAATGGCCATGCATACTGTGCATTGCGCAGTACATTTGGGTGTGTTATATGCAGATATTCAATAGTTTGTAGACCCAAAACCTGTCTGTGTTTTTTAAATATTGAGAAAAGATACATGGTATTCTGTTGGTTTTATGCAACCTGTAATCAGACTCAATATCTGCACAACATACAAACATACAGACAATAATATTCTGTTCAAACAATCGCGCTGCAGACCAGAATCTGAAGATTCAGAAGCTACAATGATGGATGCCACCTGACTACTGCAGCCCATTCAAACATTGCGATTAATAGGCTAATGGTGGAACTAATTAACATCTGCATTTTGTAAATTGAATTAATGATGCACCTGAGAGTATTTGCATCGTGCCTAATAAATGATGTTTGTGAGAGTTACTTAGTGGCACCGTGTTAACATGTCTTGTCGTCAACAACAGCAGATTTTCCTCCGTCGAACTCACCTGCAGCTCGGAGTTTATCTGCAGTCCGGTCATTCAGCTGGATTTCCACATTGCACAAAGCCCGTGCGCAACATCGCTGTCAGTTAAAGGTGTGTTTCCCCAAACAGGAGCGCAGTGAAGCCAAACCTGGTGATGGTGTTAATATTCTGCGGCGGAGAGGGGAGCGCTGTGCGTCCTGTTGTTCCCCACACGGAGCGTTCATTCCCCGGTGTGCCCGCCTGTCTGTGACCCGCTGCGGTTGACGGAAGTCACTGCTGCACCTCAGTCATCCAAAAACACGGCTGTCCTGTCCGGTGTTGGAGCTTCAGCGTGTTGCAGGTGGCTTAAGAGATATCCAGGTTAACAGTTACATCAGAGGGCAGGACACCCCTCTGTCGGACAACAAAGGAGAAAGGCGCCCCCCAGCGAGGAAGAGCCGCCTTCAGACCTTACAAACCTGAGTGCAGTGTAGAAATGCTCTGTTACAAGTCCTGCATTTAGAATTAAAAGTGCATCAAAATATACTTAAAGTACCAAAAATAAAGGTTCTTATTTTGCATAAAGGCCCATTTCAGAATAATAATATCATGTCGCTGAATTATAATCATTGATTCACTGTGACTGTTCATCACTTTAATGTTGCAGCTGGTTATTGTGAAGCTAATTTTAGTTATATCATATATGACTGGGTAGCTTGTGAATCCCCCACCCCCACCCCTCAATAACGTTTATCTTATCTTAATCTGTAATAATGCATCATAATGTATTTGTTGGTTATATTTTGTATTAATAATCTAAATCCACAAAGTAACCTGCAACTAATGTTCTCACATACCTGTAGTGGAGTAAAAACTATGACATTTCCCAATGGAAATGGAAATGTGGTAAAGTAGGAGCAGAAAGTAACAAAACAAAAGTACAAGTACTTCACAATGACAGTACTTTAGTAAATGTACTGTGTGATTGTATGGCTGTACCTAATAAATTGATACATTTACAAAAAAAAATAGATCAAACTTGTTTCACAACAAGGTGTTTTATGGGAATAGTGCACACTTTTAATCATATAGAAGAGTAAATATTTCATATTTAATTCAAAATACACCTTTCTTGTATTAATATACTGATGACTTTTATAGTTTTCTTTATTTACATTTTTGGAGTCATACTCATCTATATTTATGTGTCTGACATCACCGCACTGTGTTTTTACTATGAGAATGATAAACCAGTCATAATAAAGACATAAAACTTCTAGTTATCAAAAAAGCTGAATTTATTGTGCAATAACAATATTTTAGTTCCAGTGAAGTTCATGTTTAGGTAGGAAAACTGCATGGCAAAAGGAAGCAGTGCAAGTAAATTCCATGCACAAGCATCGCTAAAGAAGAAACAAAACAACCGACCGAGGATTTGACAGCGAGATAAAATGTCTACTGAAGAAGTGTGCTGGTTTGGATTTTACAAGTGGTTCAAATCCGGAGGGTCCAGTCGTGTAGCAGATTTGAAATATAATGCAAATAAAAGTGACAAGTAGCAATGGAAAGTAAACGAAGACAAAAAGGCGATTTGATTCAAGTAGACAACATATTTCCTTCAAGTTCGACAATTTGGCCCAAAACAAATATTTAAAAACTATTTATAAAAAGAAAAAAAAAATGTAAAATGCACCAGAATGTACAAAAAATATCAAATAAATACATTTTCAGTCATGTCAAATGGAAAAATAAAAATAAAATGTCCATAAACACATGAACAAAGATGGCAGTGATATTTTCCAAGTGGATGAACGTATTTTTGTGTAATTCACACGGCTGATTTAAAAATCCACACCAGAATATGGCGAGTAAAACATATCATATTGATATTTCTGTGACTAAAAAAGTAAACGACTTTACAAATCTGTGTCTTACTAAAAATATACTCCAAAAATTGTAATATCTTTCAGACGTATAAAAAAGTATCCCCGAGTAATAAGTAACACGTATAAAAAAGATGCTGTGGAGTTGCTGTACAGATGGGCTTATGGCACGGAAAAATACTGAAAGACAATCAGTGCAGTGTGTAAAACCAAGACGCCAAGTCGTAGCATCTACACTGTGATGTAAAAAGACAGACATTGCTATATGTTGGCAGAGGAGCGGAGGACGTGGAATCTCTTCAGAGTCATGCGGATGGATCCCAGCTCACGGTTCACTCTCTCCAGACGATTCTCTAAGGCCACCTGGGGAGGGACGCAGAGCAGGATATTAACTGGCAACAACATTCATTCACTGATTAATTAATTTAACAAACAAAAAATGTTAAACGTTCTCTTGTTCAAGCCCCTCAAATTTGAAGATCTGCTGCGTCAAGCGCTCCACCATCCAGACTGAAAACATCTCATAGACTATTCAAAGGATTGTCCCTGGTGCTCAGAGGACAAATCTAAAGACTTTGGGGATCCCCTGACTTTTCCTTTGGCGCCACCATCAGGTCAAAACTAATGCCATCCCCAGCTGCCTTTACCCTGATTGACAGGTCGCTATGGTAGCCGTGCCCTAAAGCTTCCCCTGCTTTATCGTCTATTTTCCTCTAAATGGGGCCTTAATTTACTAAATGAACATCATGCTGTGTTGAAGAAGACTTGAAACTAGCGACTGAAACCATGAGCTCATTAGGAAAGTCTTTAGTGAGGTAATAAATCAGCTGAGAAGTAGCCTCATTTTCTCATAGACTCCAAGCAGTGGAGTCGCCCCCTGCTGGCAGGCTGGCTTCGCTTTACAGACCCAGAGGTTCCAGCTTTGTATTTCTAAGCAGCCAAATTTTATCACATTTGATCCAGGGTTGTTGCTACAGCTGTACTGTTAGTCAGCTAATCATTACAGCGGTGCAATAGGGGGAAATTAATTAAACTAATAGGTAAACAAGAATATAGATACTTTATAGAACAGTTCTTTCACGCTCTTCATAACTTCGCAGAGCTCATGGTGAAGTCTTCAGTTGGCTTATTTTGTCCGACTAACAGCCAAAAACCCAAAGATATTTAATTTAATATCAAATAAAATAAAGAAGAGCAGCACAAATTCACATGTGAGAAGCCAGAACACGTGAGTTTGCCTGAAACAGTTTGCTTGAAAAATGATGCTTCAGCTCTAATTTAAAAACAAACACGGGAAAATGATATGAGCGTAATCGATATCTGGTGTCTTACCTCGTCTAACCTGGTCTGCAGACTCACTCTGCCGCCTGCTCCAGGCATCCGGCTCAGAGCTGCCTCAATCTGCACAACAACAAATAAAGGTTAATCATTTATTAACAAAAACAATTATATTGATGAAACAGCCGGCACATGACCGACTGAAACACTTTGACTGAACTCGTTAGATTAGTTGTGTGTGTGTGTGTGTGTGTGTGTGTGTGTGTGTGTCCCTATGTGACCAGGACAGAAGGAGGGGGAGGCGGGGGAATGTGGATATGAACTTCCTAAAAATAGAAGTAATTTAGGAGTGGTATAAAAGCAAATGAAGCCCGTGTTACATAAGAGGTCGGGTGGGGATTAGAGTTGTACTGTTCAGTGTGTCAGAGATACGAGGCTCTTTAAACTGTTCCACACAGAGCCCTTTCAGTACATCTCCTCTGCTGAGTTAATAAAAAAACGTCCTGGCTGACAAGTGGAAATGACGCCGTGTGATGTGATGAGCTGCGAGCGCTCACCTGCAGTTTCTCCTGCGTCAGCTCGTCAAACAGTTTCTCGGCCTCAGCCAGCGAGTGGAGTCTGTCCAGGAGAAGAGGGGCCGAGTCCTCGTACGAGCCCTGCAGGTCAGATCCACCACAGGGCCCCTGCTCCTCCCAGCCCAGCTGGGAGTGACCCTCAGGTGGGTTCATGCTGCTGGAGGACTCTGGCTGCGGGAGGTCTGAGAGGAACACAGATTTCATAGGCCACTTTGTTAGGTGCACCTTTAGTGACACCTTTTTTTCCACCACATACACAAGGGGGCAAAATATTACATATTACAACATGGTTCAATTCTCCAGTGTGACACGTCCACCAGTGTGTCCCTGACCTGATTTGAGAACTTTAATTCTTTACTAGATAAAATTATTAAAATATATCACCATCTTCTGTGGATGAAAACTGGAGTCTCTTCCTGGGACTGCCGTTGTGGAATGAATGACGTCTCTGGTCAACTTGCTCATCAAACCTGCGGGGCAGCACACAATGTCTTTTGTTATTCTTTTTATCCAGTGTCATGTAGAACGTCGGGTGCAAAGTTTGACTTTATATCCACTTTGTTTTGAAGTTCATTGGATTGAGATTTATATAAAAATCGTATTCAAGAAGCTGCACTGACTGTTGTTCAGCAAGAAGTAGCAAAATTAAGCTGCGTTTCCACCAAAGGAACAAGACCCTGGAACTAGAAACCTTTGGAGGAACTCACTGCGTTTCCTCCGAAAGGGACCAGGGTCTAAATTTGACCTTCCAAAAAGTCCCTGCTCGGGGGGTTGTACTTTCCAAAAGTACCGGTACTTTTGGGGGGTGGGGCTTGTCTTGCAGTGAATTTCTGAATGGGCGAGTAGAGGCTACTGGCTTTAAATCAAGTATGTCGGCTGTTTTTCTACTACTGCTCCACTCTTTTCCACGGTTACCAATAAATCACAATCAACAGTCAGCACACACACGTCCCGCCGATATCCGCCTGAGATCGAACGTCGGCAATAAATGTATTGCTCTGAAATAGCAGTCAGCTGCAGCGGCGTGTTTAAAGTGAACAGCTGATGGAGTTACGCTAAATACTGGGTCCAAAGTTGTTGTTTGAAGTTTTCATCAGTCAGGAAGTTTTTACACAGAAGACCGAAGTCGGTCTCCTGCTCTCCAAAACAAGTGGAACAGCTGATTACAGCAGGTAATAAAGCTCGTTAAACATCCGGTTCCTCAGACGCTCAGGCGACACAGACGTGGTGCCTCAGATGATCTGCAGCTCTTGTCGGCTGGAAATGTTGTAATAACGTTCCAAACTGTCTCAATTTTATTTCTGTATTGCTTTCTCTGTGCTGGAGTCATTTTAAGAACTTGATGTATTTATTCAGTTTGTTATTAAATGTGTAACAAACTTTATCGTGTGTCTCTTCATTATACTCCCACACAAAAAAGCTGCTTTAATGATGCCTGTGCATCGCTTTGTACGGCCTACAGCCTACGTCAGCTGGTTAATTTGCCTAATCTCCGCAGGTCTTTAGACCACGGTGGAAACGCACACAACAGTGGGCTGAAGGAAACTTTTAGTTCCTTGAAAAGAGATCTAAAAAGTCCCGCGGCTTGAAGTTACGTGTTAGTTTTTGCCTCAGCCTAGAGAAGGTTTTGACACAGCCAAAATGTGATATTCTGTGATTTCGTGAAATACAAATGTACAGTTAGGTTGGAGGTTCGTCCAAAATGTCTTGGTGGTCTTGCTTCTGATGAGATGTTGTGTGTTGCTCACCTTTTGAGCAGGTGCTCCTCTCTTGGCATCGGGCGCCCAAAAGCAGTGGAGTAGTTCTCAGTAGGGCAGCGTTTAGGACTGGACTTCGCAGACATGGGCATGAGTAAAGTTTCTCTCTTTGCTGGATGGAAGAGAACAACACACCACTAATTAAAACTTTAATACATCAATACATAATTAATTAAAACCTACGTTCTCCAGAGAGTTTTTAGTGAGCCGCAAAATTAGAAATAATCTTCAAGTTTGAATTCATTTGTTTTGTCTCTCTAAAATGTGTTTTCACAAAGACAAAAGAAGATCACAGACGGGTGACTGACAGCACTGTTTTGTCAAGTAAAAAAAAGAGGTATTTATATTCAAACCTCCTTAATAAGCCAACCTCAAGGCAAAGCACATATACTGGCGTCATATTCATTCACAGAG